CGCTCTCTGAAAAGAAAGCGATCCGTGAGCGGAGAGAGGCGAGACTGAAGCTCTCGCAATGAGAGCAATTAGCTCCCGTGAGCGCAGCTTCCGCATGGGATTTCCCCAAGCAGGACACGCACTCCGTGTGGCCGTCATCAGCGTGCAGGGGAGACCCGCACGAACCACAGTAACGGCGCGGCATTTGCAACAACGCCGATGCTCTTTTAGAAGCTCTTTTGTGAGTCGCCGGATGGCGGCAGGGGAACCGGACCGGAACTGCTGCGTCGCTGGCGCGGCGGAGAAGCAGGTCAGCCGTGCTGAGAGGTCCCGATTCCAGCTGCAAAGGCGTGTCAAACGGCGAGCGGCTTCGGAACAGCTTGAGACGTAGAGTCGTCGCTTATATAGCCAGATGCCCCGCCCATTCTGGCGGGCTTTGGCGGGAATTCTGCACGAACCAATGGCCGTGCAGTTTCACTGCGTGAATGAAAAAAGGCTTCAGTTCAGGAGAAAAAAGGCTTTTTCCCATATGCGTCTTAAGCAGACGCAGCACGAGTGAAGTATCGAAAGGTAACTGCATTTCATGGGATCTTTATAGTGTTTTGTTTGTATCTCTTGCCTTCTTCTCTTGACTCTCCTCCTCTATAGGAACAGTGTTGTGAGTCCTGTGGTCTCCTTCAGTGCAGGACAGACACACACACGTCTGATCATCTCTGCAGAACAGCTCCAGAGGTCTCTGGTGTTTCTGGCATATATAATCTTCCAGATTTTCCACAGCGTTGATCAGTGTGTGTTTCTTTAGACGTGGGACTCTGTGATGGGGCTCCAGGTGAGTCTCACAGTAGGAGCTTTGACACGTCAGGCAGGACTTCACAGCTTTCTGCTTTCTTTCATCACAGAAGTCACACAACACCTCAGATTTTCCGAGATTGAGCTTCTCCTTAAAGTGTTGCACAACCTCTATGAGTGTTGTATTAATCTCAAGATCAAGTCTTCTGATGAATGTTTCATTACAGAGTGGACAGAAGCAGATATGTGTGTTTGTCCAACACTTGATCAGGCAGGTTTTGCAGAAGTTGTGTCCACATGGAGTGGTGACTGGATCAGTGAACACATGCATACAGATGGAGCACTGGAGCTCCTCATTTAGTGGACCACTGGAGGATGACATGCTGAAAAGATAAGTAATAACAATATATCATCTACATTACTGCTTAGAGCAGTTTTGATACTAATTTTGATGTGTTTGAGTCATTTATGTTGTGTATGGATGTTGCTTTTTAAAAATGATTCTAACTAAAAACTTTTATAAAGACGTAATAATAAATAAACAATGTAAATTATGAACCACTGTTTATTTCAACGGCAAAGCAGCCATAGCCATATGTGACATAGCCATATGTGACATAGCCATATGTGACAGTAGTTTCTGTCTGGAAGTTAGGACAGAGTTCACGAATGTCAACTTCACTGAGCCTATAAGCTCCGCCCCCAACTTCCGGTCTAAAACTGCTGGTTTGATGCTTCTGATGGCTCTGTGGCACTGCAATGCTTATTATTGGGTGGTAGAAGAAGAAACTAAATAAAAAAAACTAAACAAATGAAGTTTTACAACAATATTTAATAATAACACGAAAAGGCATTTTTATAAATGAAAGACAACACAGAAAAGGACGGAAGTGTAACCCAGATAGCACACATACATCTGCAAGATGTCTGTTAAAGATCGCTTCATCTGGAAAGCATCTGTTGTGTGCAAACATATGATAGTCTTTAAGATGTCAGTTTTACATACACTCTAAATCATAAACATCTTAAAACGATTTTCTAAATGTCTATTTGACATCTGATAGGAAACGTCCTATAGACGTATTTCAGATCTAAAAAATACGTCTTGCAGATGTAAATGCAGATATCTAAATAGACATCTCTGTGATGTACGTGTGCTATCAGGGAATATTTCAAACATATAACGTACTAAATAAACATGCATGTAAACACCAGGTTTCATTTTTGTTTAACCGAGTTATGATTTTCACTGGACTTTGTTCATTCTGCCGGAAGTTCGAGTACATCCTGTTTCTATCGTCTCTAAACTGACAGCATACCTCAGAATTTGATTTACAACCAAATAAATGACATATTTTTACTAATATTCTGATACTGCTTCATGCTATTAAACTACTGAACGAGCTCTTTACATTTCCATCACTTACCTGTGAGTGAATAACAGATCTGATCATTAATTTTAGAGTTTCTGAATAGAATTGTTTTTTGATGAAGCTTTCAGTTCATCTTTTAAGTTTCACTTTCACTTAAGTCTTTCACTCAAGGTCATACTGTAGCTCCGCCCATAATCATGAATATGAAACCGTTTCTAATTCATCCCTGCTGAGTGTGTAACAGTGTAGGGAACTTTTAGAGTATCTATTTCGTTTTGGTTAGTTCCTTTTCTGATGACAGTAGTGTCAAATATCAAGTTATCACAGTTTACTCAATTGCAGCTTGTTAGAAACTGCACAGACTGCATATGTTTCAAAGTGAAATCTTTCTGGGTCTCAAAGGGAAAACAATAAAATATGTAAAGGAAATTAGCAAAAGAAAGCATGCATTTTCAGTATTTTAATCCCAATCAGATGTTTCCCAGATGTTCCCCCACAGCAGATGCTTTCCAGATGAAGCGATTATGAAGGTAAAATTATGTCAAAAAGATTTGCATGCGCAGGGTAATATTTGTGAAAGTGTACATAAGACTGTAAGCGTAAATTAAATTTGCATGCACAAGAGAGTATTGTAAAGGTGTAAATCGTGTTTAAAGCGCAAGAAAAAATTATTTGCAGCATTTTACTGTTAATCGTAAGTGTAATTTATGTATTGTGAAACTGCAGCTTCATGCTAACGCAAAATAAATATGAGCTGCATTCTTCTGACTTCCATTTTTCCGCGCTTACACTTTTGGCATGTTTTTTTCACCAAAAGACGGTCAAACGCACTGCAAGCCTGTGAACAGTGATTTGCAAGCGAAAACAACAGTTTAAAGAACTGCAAAATGGATTGACTGCTTAGAACAAATCTGTATGTGTAAAAAAACAAACTGTTGCAAATGTCAAAATTACTTGTTGTGCATGTGGGGCAAAAAGTTGCCGAAATAATCCAATATGTACAGCTCCGTCTTTCTTTTCTCTGTGCTTACAGTTTTGGCACGATTCTCTCACTAACTGAGTTTTGCAGGTGTAAGGGGGGAGGGTGGGTCCACCACCTTGTAGCCAATCAAATGAGGCTCTTGCTGACTCTCCATTTACTCTTATCTGATTGGTTCAATAAACACATCATACGCCAAGACTTTTATCTTCATTTAGTTCAGGATAGTTCTTGCTGTCGGAATGGTACTGGTAAAGTAACAGCTGGAGTCCACGCCTCTCTCTCCTCCCCTGAGCCCAATGAGTTTTAACAGACCCCCTAAAACGTGCGGTGAGTTTGGTGGGGGGGTAATTGAGAATGAATGGGGAAAAGTCACGTGAGAGAAGGCAAAGCCTCCATCGCGATATGAATGGATTGACTGGTTATGTGATTGGTTCATTCGATAAATCCCGCCTCTTGTGTTTGTGCGCGTTCCGCTTTCGCTTTGAATCAATTGAACCAATTGCGTCGCAAAATTATTCACTGTTTAGAAGCGTACACCACACACTGGTGACCACTGCTGGTCAAAACTGTGTAAATGCAACAAAAACTCAGGCCAAAACATGCATAAAACATTTTACAAACCCATTGCAAATGTATTATTGAAAGTATAATTCATTAAATAAAAAAATACCATTAAATGTGAAGTGTCTGTATGTGTTTTTAAAATAATTATTATTAATTAGCAGGGCTTGTTTGTTAGTTTTATGTCTAAACAGGGCAATAAGACACTATTGACTACTGCTCATCCTTTAAATTACACAAGTGTCTCATAAAAAATTTCTAGAAATTGATCAAATTGATCGGAGATCGTATAAAAACCATAGACGCTGACTCAGTGGTTCGATTCGAAACCACTGAAATTTCAAAACGTTTCGAAACAGTTATGACGTAACGAAGCCTTGATTACTGAAATCACGTGACTTTGGCAGTTTGATAGGCGAAACAAATGTTTAGCAAAGGGTTCCCGAAGCTTCACGAAGCAGTGGCTGCGTCCAAAACCACATACTTCCCTACTATTTAGTAGGCAAAAAGCAGTAGGCGAAGAATGAGTATGTCCGAATCCTTAGTATTCATAAAAGAGTAGGCGAGAATTACCTGCGTGGTGCACAAATTCTCGCGAGATTCGGACATACGTTTACTTAAGTTACGTCCGAATAGGCCTACTTACCTAGGGCTGCATCCGTAAACTGAAAAATGCTGCCTTTGGAGGAGGCATTCGAAGGCATCAAGGCACGTCCAAATTCAATGTTAGCTTCAGTTCCTGTCTCCTGAGATGCCTTCATCTGGCCGATTTTTGAAAGCACCATAAATGTATCCTTCGCTGCCTTTTGATATCCCACAATCCTGTGCGATCCATTCTGTGACAGTTAAAAAATATGTATTATAATTGAAATCTACAGAAGCAAATAGATAAAGTGCAATAAAATAAACACTTTAAAGTATATTTTAGATGTTTTCTTTTCACTAGTCCTAAAGAAGACAAGTTAGGGAAGCAAAATACCCCAAAATCATAAAAAAAACAATGGTTTTGTCTGTAGTGTCTTGCCTTAAAGGGGTCATATGATGTTGCTAAAAAGAACATTATTTTGTGTATTTGGTGTAATGAAATGTGTTTATGCGGTTTAAGTTTATTGCAGCCTAGCATGGATGAGAGCAGCAATAACACCCCCAGGTTAAACAGAACAGAACCAACATAAATGTATTGCAGATATCGTTAAAGTTCAATAATGTTATGTACACATTTTAGAATTAGTCTGATTCAAGGAGAATCAGAAGGCTGAATCCTGACTGACAGAGGAGGAGCTGGGGATGAAGGAGGGTAATTAGCTATTGAGCAATGCGAAAACTGCTGATAATACTGAGGCACCTTATATATGAATGCTTAGATAGGTGTCGTATTCCCATAGGTTGATGGGGATCAGCTGAGAGTCAGCTGATGCAAGCTTGACTAACGTGACCTGTCAGAACTAACGCTAGATATGTATAATTGTTTTGGGGGGAACTAATAAATATGTTCAATACGCTAATATGTTTAACAAAAACTTAACCTAGCATGAAAAATAGCTAGTTTTAGACTTTATTTCTTGGAATTTCATGGAAAATAGAAATGTATACATTTTTTAATTGAATATTAATTTTAATGTTTTGTGTTTGATTTTTGTTCATTTAATATGTATGTGTGTGTGTGTTTAAATTACTTTAACAAAACAAATCAGTGTTTTATCAAAAAACTGGCCTGATAATATTTAGTATGAGGTTAACGGTCACGATTTTCTAAAGGTAAAGTGCCTCACTTAACTGTCTATTTGTTAAAAAGAATGTCAGGTTTTAATCAATTCCTGTTCAAGTGTTGTAAATTGCCAACTAACAATAAAATTTCACGTTGGCTCTCTTTCTCTGTAGGAACTTCCACGTCCTGGATGATCTGTCCGGACCTCCCGGCAGGTAACGGTGGGTGGCAGGTTGTCGATGCGACTCCTCGGGAGCCCAGCCAGGGTTCGTACCGCTGCAGTCCCTCTCCAGTCTCTGCCGTCCGCAACAGACAAGTCAACCTGAAATTTGACACTCCTCTTGTCTTTGCCGAAGTGAGCACTTCAAATACACTTCTTTTCACCCTCATTTGTGTCTGATGACATTTCGAACGGATTTTATTCAAAACATCAAAAGATCTACTGAATGGCTGAATTGGTTTCACTGTGCATCTCAGGTTAACAGTGACAGAATCTACTGGCAGAAGAAACCCGATGGAAGTTTGAGTCAGGTTCATGTGGAGAAGAACTCCATTGGTCAGTGCATCAGTACTAAAGCTGTGGGATCTGACGCGCGTGTGGACATCACACACCTCTACAAATACCCAGAAGGTAACAAAACAAATGCATCTGGTCCAAAACCTAGAACTGCCTTCCTAGAAAGCATTTTAAGGCAGCATAGACATGCTCCCGATTGGTATTGTTCATGCATATTTAATAATAATAATAATAATAAACCCTTTCAATGCATATTTATACATATTTAATAATAATGCATATGCATATTTAATAATACATTCTAATAATAAACTTAATTTGTACACAGTAGCACATTTCATACAAGAAATTCAGCACAAAGTGCACTTTACATAAAAATAGATAAAATACCATCCGAAACTGAAGACGAGACCCACCTTTTAATAGTGATAATAAACAAGATAAATTTAAAATGGTAATGAATAACAAAACAACAAAAGCCGAAAATGCTGCACTGGTCTCTTCACGTAACCACCACTGCTCTTTAGATGATTAGAGGTAAATTATCAAACTGCAAGGATGAAAATACTCCAAGGCACTTGTACAAAGGTAAAAAGCGTTTAATTAAAAAATCAAAGCAATCCATGACATGCTGAAAAGATAAGTAATGACAATATATCATCTACATTACTGCTTAGAGCAGATTTGATCATGCTAATTATGTGCAATTTAGTTAGTAATTTAGTTTGTGTACAAAAATGGACGTTGCATGTTAAAAAACTACTGTAATTGACTGGAAGTTGATGAATGTCTTGCCCGCCTCCAACACTAAACCTAATTTCACTGAGCCTATAAGCTCTGCTCTTAACATCCGGTCTGAGACTGCTCTGGTCTTTCAGATGGCTCTGCGGGACTCTGGTTGGTTACTTCTGGGTGGTAGAAGAAAACTAAATATGTGTCTCTGGGAGCTACAGTACAGCAAATGTAATGCAGAAAAGGGTGGAGGTGTAATATTTCAATCAAAAAGCACCAAATACACATCTGTAAATACCAGGGTGTTGTTTTTGTTTACTGGAGTTATGATTTTCACTGGACTTTTTTCATTCTGTCTGCAGTTCAAGTGCTTCTGTCGTCTCTTAAGTTTGACATGACAACAGACATCAAACTTTGGTTTACAGCCAAATAAAGGACATAGTTTTACTAATATTCTGATACTGCTTCATGCGATTAAACTACTGAACGAGCTCTTTACATTTCCATCACTTACCTGTGAGTGAATAACAGATCTGATCGTTAATTTTAGAGTTTCTGAATAGAAATGTTGTTGTTTGAAAAAGCTTGCAGTTCATCTGTTAAGTTTCACTTTCACTTAAGTCTTTGA